TCTTCTGTGCGGAGCTTTCTTCTATGCGGAGTGAAGCTACGGGATCAAAAAAGTAAGTTCAAAGCTAAGGGTTCGTCGTGAAGTCAGATCAAGAAACGAGATCGATGGAAAGAGAGAGTCGGATGGCGAGGTGGGATCGAAATGAGACGACGGGCAGGTGCGGCGAGGCGAACGAGGTGAGATCCGGCGAGAACGGCGGTTGATTTGCGAATTCACCGAGTTGACTCGCGAGTTAACTCGGTGGTCACTAAGTCAACTCGGTCAACAATTTTTTTTTTGGCGACTCAGCGACTTGACTACTCGGTAACAAGGTTGGCTTCGTTTCTATAAAACTGACCCGGATCGTTGCCCTCTGGTGCAGGAGAGACGAAATGAACAGAATTGTTTCCGATTCCAGGGACTTGTAGCTCGACCATTCGTGCAACAAGGACAGCATGAAGACTAGTTCAGACTTAGACGATTCCAGATGAGATTGCGGTTTTACTGGCTGCCAAAATGCGGAGGTCAAAGCGAAGAGAACCTGATCCGCCAGGATCCACCATGTCAACTCCGAAGTCTTTGAAGCCTACTTCACTTTATATGAAGCCTACTTTCATGCTTGTTTCTTGTGGTTCCCGATTTCTGGCGTGATTCTTGACTTTTATGGAGGACCAACCATGTCATTGCTCAGATCACGCCTCGCGGGATGCGCCACTTAGTCGAGATTATGGTGTGCAGCTATGAGTGTGGCTACGAAGTCGGGGTTGATCATTTGTTGAGTCTCTTTAAGGCTAAGATGACTGGCTCCAAGGGCAAGCTCCTCTATTTTCTTAACGGTAAAGCGGATCTCCAAAGCCAACAAAGATCGTTTTTGGTGGGAGAAGTTTTTCTTTATGACAATCAATGAAGCTTCCATTGGGAATGACCATCTTGACAGCTTCGACAGAGATGGGGGACTCGCGGTAGCCGACTTTGCTGCGCTGCCGTTTTTAGCTTAGAATTTGATCTAAATCACTGTTTATTTCTGATCTTGCTTGTTTAAGTCCTTGGTTTGCAATTCTAACCATTTCCTCTTTTTATTGTTTTGCAGTTTTGAGCCGCATCGCGAAGTTGGCAAGAGACTTATTTGATCTTCGCGCTGACCTTGCTGCTGAGAAGTGTAGCTGGTAGGAGGACTTCTCTTTACGCAGAGTAAAAAAAGCTCTGGTTCGTCGCTTCTGAGTTACTTCATTGAATTCTTCACCAGAGATGTCGGACAATGCGAGGAAATCGTCTGCTCGTGAGAGGAGAGCTGTTGAGGCTAAGACAGGGTCTGATGCGATAGTGTAGCAGCAAGTTAGACCGTTGACATAAGTCCCCGGAGCTGGCACTACTGGAACCCTTGCATCTAAGTCGCGTCGTCCTGAGTTAGAGCGAAATGCTGCCGTTGTAATCGATCGTCGATCTGAGTCGTCGCAGAGACATCACGATGACGCGAGGAGAAAGGATGATGATGTGAGGGTAAGTCGTAAGCGTTCCCGAGAAGACAACGACAAAGATGTTGCTGACGGAAAGGACCCGAACAGATCGAGACGCACCGCGACTCCTCGACGTGATCATGTGGCGATGGATCCATCCTTTTCTTCTGGTTCGAAGGGATCCTCTCGCAATGCTGCGCTGGCAGCGTCGCATCTGTCCGAGATTATCTTCCCAAGCACTGACTTTCCCCCTCCAGAAGAAATATCGAGGAAGAATTCTTACTCAAGCATAGCCCTTCACTGTACGACGGTATGACTTCTCGAGGACTCCTATATGGCAATGATTTTTTTCCATCTTTTTGATCATCTAACTCATTTTCCGCGATCTTTTTACTTGGCAGTTCCCCTCCTCGCTTAACGAACTCGCCATCGACTACGAGGTGACTACCCGCTCGTAGACTCGCCAGCTTTCTAATACTCATAAGGCTTATGACGAGTTTAAAAAATAGAAGAAGACTACCAAAGACCGCGTTGCTGATCTCGAAGCTGCCATGAAGGAGACCGAGGATAGGCATCGCGAGATGGATGGGACATTTACAGAGTTAGAAGCTGAGAAGAAGGAAGTCACTAACCTTACCAATCGCCTATATTGCTGCCAAGCTTCATGATGCGGCTGTGCAGCGGGCAGTTAATAAAGCGAAGCGCGAGCTGGCGGCGGAGTACGAGAAGAAGATCGACCGCACTAGAGAAAAGATCAGAGTGATCAATGACCAGCCGAGGATTGACATAATTGATATTGCAGAGATCGAGATTAACATTGAGTTTCTCGAGTTGCTTCAGAGTGACAAGGCGCCTGATCTTAGTGGCGAACATGTCGCTCTTAGAGAGAAGGAAGCGGGCTTATCACTTGCAGGCAAGGTGTTTGCCGAGCATGTCCACGAACTTGAGGAGATCCTTAAGGCTTCGCCTGCTAGTATAACCGATGGTCGAGATGATGAGTTGGACGCAGCCTCGGATTCGAGTTCTTCAGATTCTTCGTGCGATGAGGACCCGTTAGATTTTGCGGGCAAGGCTCATCCTGAGCAAGCCATCGAGATTGTCGACGACGTTGATGAGGCCCTGTCTTGGTTCTTGTTTTAGCACTTTGTCATACTTTTGATTTCAGAATTAGTATTTGATTCAGTTAGGATGGTGTTTATCCCTTTGTTTGGATTTATCATTGTTTTATGAGATGGAATTTATGAATGCAGCTTTTATGATTCTCGTTCTTGTCTTTCGGATGAACCGTTTTGTTGCTATATTTTTAGCCCACGACGCTGATCCGATGATGAGCTTAGCTGCTTATTGATGAGCTAAATGACTTGTTTATATTTACTAACTTTGATGCAATTGTGGTTTACCGGCGAGTCGTCATTGGCAAGCTTTCTCTAGCTATGTTGTCGTTTTAAGGCTAGTGATTTAAGTTCGGACAATGTTTGTCTTGGTTTTCAGGCAGGCTGTCGTTGATTGGTCTGCTTCTGAAGATTGATTATATTGTTGTTGGACCAACGATAAGTTAGCTGGGATTTATGACGATCGTTTTGGTTTTCAAGCGATTCTGTGTCAATGTACCCGCTCCGAGAACGACCATAATATTGCGTAATGACCAACGATTAAGCTGTTGGATTTTCTGATGAACTTCTTGGTTTACAGGCAAATTTTCATTGACCTGATGAACTTCTTGGTTTACAGGCAAATTTTTGTTGACATGCCCGCTCCGAAAATGAACAGATTATCGCGTAGAGACCAACGATTAATTTGTTGGTTTTTGAATGAACATTTTGATTTACGACCATGTATTACAACGACACGGCCGCTCCTATAATGAACACTTTTCAATGATACCAGCGAGGTTTGTTGGGTTTGGGGCAATCACTTGGGTTTACAGAAGTGTTTCTTTCTAAAACACGTCCACTCCTATAGTGATTACCAACTTATATAGCGCGCTTAACCCATGGAAGGTGTAGTAGTCAGATCTGAGTGGTGAAATAAGTTCGTCGCTATGGCCAGTAGCGACAGTGGTAGAGTCTGATTGAGTTAAGACTTAAAGTAATCTGTGATGGACGTAAATGAGATGCAAACGAGAAGTAAGCAGATCTTTTATCTTTATGAATCATAGCATTTGTTTTAG